ACCTTCTTACACTGCTGGTGGGAATGCAAATGGATCCATCCACTAGGAAAGCTGTGTGGAGATTCCTCAAATTACTAGAAATGGAGCTGCCATATGATCCAGTGATTCCACTTCTAGGAATCTACCAAAAGGACACAAATACATTAATTTGAAAAGAAAACCTTCACGCTTATGTTTATTCCAGCACTAGAATTATAATAGCTATATGGAAACAACTTAAATGCCCAAAAACAGATGTCTGAATCAAGAAGATATGGTACACAATGGTATTAATCAGCAATCAAAAAAGATATATTCATACTCTGAGTAGCAACATAGATGGAACTATCAATAGAAGGGATTATTATCAGTGAGATACATCAGAAGGAAAAAGAAAAATATCAAATGGTTTCATTTATAGGAGGAATATTGGGGAACTGGACAAAGGGGCAAAAAAAAAAATAGAGAAACAAAACTTGCAGATAAACTATAGATCTGAGGTATACAGCCGGGCAGGAGGAGGGAGACGGATCAAAACAGGGGAAGAGCACAAGGGGCGATGTGATGGATCACGAGTGACAGGGTGGTGAGAGATTTATGGGGACTACACATGAGCAGAGAAATGTAATATTGTACAAAAATAACAGTATAAGAAAAGAACATTTAATAAAAAATAAATGAAGAAAATGTTATCTTAAAAAATAATAAAATAGCTTAAAAGAGCAGAAATTACCATTCTTCTAACGACACAACCCGCTAAGCCTCAGGAGATAAGAAACCTTTGGGAATTAGTCATATTTATATTTTCAGACATAAAATACTTAAACTGAGAAGTCAGAGTTTCACTTAAACCTGACTCTCATCACTTGTGAATGTTTAGCCACTAAAGGATGAAATGGTCTAATCAATCCATCTTTATCTCCAATATGATGAGGCTAAGAGAAGTGATCCTCAGCTAAGTCTTCAGAAGGGGAAGGTGAGTTTCAGAGGTATGATGCCCATATTGTGGAGGTGTTAAAACAGGCTCTAAAACAACTCTGTCTACATGAGCACAAAGGCTTCTGTGTGTTTTCAGGTCACTGAGCTTGGGCTAGAGGGAGCAGGCCCTGGATGTCCATCCAGAATGTGTGCCTTGTCCACTCACCTTGTCAAAGGGCCCTAGAAGCTAATCTGTAGATTAATCTGTGAAATCACCAGCCCCGAAAATAGAATTAAAACATTACTAATATATTTATGCAGACTTTGCAATGCATAAATTGTGTTCACACTTAACCGTCTTCCTTTGTACAATAATCCTTTGCAGTGTTTATTTTTTACTGATTAAAACATGACTCGCAGAAACTCAGATGTGTCAAATGTTATACTGTAATTCTTAGATTCTGCGTTGAAATTAAATATTGTGATTTATATTTCTTTCTGCCACATTTGTGCTAATTTTTTCTTCCTTAAGGAAAGGAACACTGACATGGATGGAGCTAGAAGGGATTCTGCTAAGCAAATAAACCCAATGGTGACAGATAAATACCAGATGGTGACAATGTGAGATACAGAGAAACCAAAGGGACAAAGAAAAACTTTTAAACAAACCCTTGAAAGCAAGCCATAGATCTGAGGTACACACAAATGAAAGGGAAGGCCCAGGGGAGGTGGAGGAGAGGGCACATTGGACTGTGGTGGAGGGCTGAGTGCTTTGGTGGGAGGGAAAGCTAATGAGACGACAACTGAAGAGAGAAATCCTATAGTGTGAAAATATGCCGCAGATGTAGACAATGACACCTCATTAAAAAATTGAATAATAAACATTTTTTAAAAGAGGAAACTGAGAACTGACAATTAAGTCCGACTCAGAGAAAACAACTGTTCTGTGCCCATGCTGTTCACTGTGTGGTTACACACGTAGATGTAGCACCTGGTTTCTGAGCACTTGGAATGTGCTTTCTTTCATTTCAAAAGTGCTATAGCATTAAATAATTCCAAAGATTTAATTAAAATATAATGTAAATCACCAAATGATAATTTTGATATCATCACTTGTTAAAATGAAATTACTTGCCCTTACTAGGTAAATTAACTATAACATGGATATAAGTTTCCACCAACATGGATATAAGTTTCCACTGTTTGTTTTTATGTTTTATAAATGGACTTCTAGAATACTTGAAGTTAACCAATTACCTGTATTGAATTTCTATTGAGCAGTGGTGTTCAAGATTGCACCTTTGTAAAACTATTTTAATTGCTAATATTTTAATAATACATTATGGTGTACGGAAATATGATAAAACACCTTTTAAATGTTAAATTCCTTTGAGTAGCTATATTACATGAGGCCTGAAGCAGATAATCTGAAGAGTAACCAAAATTGTAAAATAAAAATTTATTCCTAACCTAGTAGAAACTACCTGTAAATAGTTGAATAAAATAGATAACAGTTAGCATTGTTCAGTTTTTATGTGTGCTAAAATACAATGAATACAACATGTATATCATTTCTTCATACAACTGAATTTTATATAAAGACAGGTATATTACACTGCTGTAATCACGGAGTCTTCAGAATCACCCAAGAAGCTCTTCTTGATGTTTTCAAAAATAAGTTTTATATGCTTATATAGTGATTTCAGGCATAGGGAAAACAGAGAGATTCAAAGTAGAAAATAAGGACATGAAGAGATTTCAGCTCTTAAAGAGAATAACCCAATAGCGCTTCCATGGACATATACAATGCGATCAGATATGGTTAAATCACAGGTTCTGATTAGTGCTGTGGGTTAGGACATGACATCATGTATTTCACGTCCTCCTAGTGATGATGGTGGGGTCAGTTGGTGGCCAGCATGTCAAGCAGCATGAGCTTACCACACAGGCTTGTTTAGGAAGCAGGAAAAAGTAGCTGACTTAGATAAAAGTCAGACAGGTACAGAACATGAGCAAACAGACAAAAGAAATTGGGTAAAGTTCTCACTTAGAACTCAGTGAGAACAGATAGTTTGTGACACACTAAGAACACATTGGAAGCACACATGAAGAGTGTTTAATGGTAAGTACATGGTCTTCTTGAAGACTGAGTTGTTTTATCTCTGTGGTCTCCTTGACTAGACTACACCTCTGTGTGCTCTTTGGCACGGGATGAAGAGAAAAGAGGACCCCGAGTGTGTCAGAACAGCAAAGCACAATGAAACAATCTCTCTTTTGCATACGGTCCCTCTGTCTTCAATCCTGGATATATAAAGATGATCAGATTTTAAAAAAAAAATCAAGCGTTCATTAGAATGGGAACTTGCTCAGAACTTGCTCACAACTTGTTCCAGTGTTAAGACGTGTCTTAGTTATAAACCAAGAAGCAGCATCTACATCACAGAGAAATCCTTTGGTGCAAAGAAGTGTGCCCTAATAGAGCAGAAACTGAGTGGAAGTAGGAAGAAATGGACAGATCTTGAAAACGCTGAAACAGGTAGACCCTGGCCGGCAGGTTGTGAATTAGCTGAAGCAGAGGTCTGAGAAGGGCTCTTTGTAACCTATGGTACACTTGAGAGAGAGCACAGAGAGGAAACTGAGCATCCAAGGCTGCAAAAATGATAAAAGAAGAAGGAAAGGTCTGAATGGTCAGAAATAAAGTCTAATTGAAGCCAGAACAGGCAGCTCCCACATGTGCCACTTCTGTCCTCTCCGTGGGGAATTCTGGATGAGAAGGGGAAGTGTCACTCAGGAGCCTCCTGTGGGAACACAAATGCCTGGGTTGTTTGTTTTGCCAAAAGGGGCAGCACTGGGGGCAGTGTGTTAAATCCTGCTCAGTTGCCTGGTGAGCGAGGTCAGTCTAACCCAGAAAATGATCAGAGACACATAGATCAGAAGCATGTGAGACCCTGCTGTTCTACCTTCCAGCTTTACAAAAGTTTAGGAAGACTAAGCTTTGATAAGAAAGCCAGTTCATGATTAGATTGAATTAGAGAACATTTAGGAGTGAAAACTCAGTTTTCTAAACTGTTCTGAGCCATATAATACTACAATTTTTTTTAAGTGGGAGGAGGAGTCAATCACCAAGTTTCAAATATTCAGTTGTAGAGTTTAGGTGATTCTGAAATATCCTCCAGTTAAGAAACTTATTTAACACTGCATGTTTGAAATCACAGGACATGCACATCATGAGTACCAATTACCACAGCCCCAGAAAGAGTCTGGTGAACACGCTCAGAAACCTTAGCCGGTAGTCATTACCAGCCTTACGAAGAAACACCTCTGTTGAAATCCCGGAAGCAGGGGCCTCAAAGTATTCTCTCAGTCAACACCCTTTTCCTTAGGCACATCGTCAGCAAATTTTCATTACCAAGCCTCAGTCATTTTCTCCATCATTATTTATATATCTGATTTAGAATTAAATGTTTTATACTTTGCTTAAATAATTTGAGATACTATACAAGATGTAAAAGTTCATGCACGGTTCCTAAAACCTATAGGTAGACACAAACTTGTGGACTGTTTAAAAAAAGTTCTCATTTCCTGGTGAGTAAAAAAACCTATGCTCAATGGAGGCCCAGAACAGGTATAATAAGGATGGAGAACCTGGAATCAGGAATGGAATGGAGCTGGGTCTCTGCCTGTCTAACTGGACTCTTTCCTCTTTGACCTCCACAGATTTCCACAGGAGAATGGGTATAAGAAATCAGTCCACAGTCACCGAGTTTCTTCTCTCGGG